CACACCTGCTGGAACACAATGCCCCACGGAGGTGGAACATTGTCGCCGAACACTTTGCTGGAACGGGGTAAACCCGAATCACCCAGCTGGCACCAAGAGGAGGTAGTTCGGCAAGCCAGCCAGGAGGTAGTTCGGCAAGCCAGCCCACGGTCTGGGTCGTCGCACCGCTTAATTGCCCAGCGGCATGGGCTGTGCTCTTGACGCTTTGTCGATTTTACGTCCTCTCTCCGACTACCTTTTATTACGATTACTCCACACCTAGCCAGTCCGAACGATTTAAGAACACCAAAGACGTCGGCAGCGTTTTTGACAGATCAGAGAAGGCTACCTACGTCATTCAATACACAAGCAAGCTAATGAACAAACGGCTGTGGGCAATCCCCCAGCCTTAATAAAACTCGAGAACTGAGCAAAGTGGAGTAATTTGTCCGCTCCACACGTGTTCCTGCTCTATTGGTTGCACACAAGTATGGTCAGTAACAGAAAGGATTAGTCCTTGACAAAAATGTTGGATCGCGCTGTCATGATTCATGCCGACAATGTGTTTACAGTCGGATGCCCTGTGACACAAGCAAGCAGTAGTATTCCTCCAAAGCCTCTGCGTCAATCGTTATGCACGAAATCGGAGCGCAAGAAGACACTGTTCAACGTGGCGGTTGTAACGAAATGTCCTACTGCACAACAAACTGTAGCGTACTCGCAACCATTTTCTTTCAGTGCACTGCCCATGGTGCTTTACATGCGTTCTGAAACTTTGCTTTACATGGCAGTTAGTGCAACGTGCATCACTGTGGTCACAAGCCGTTTGAAATCGGTCGCTGCTTACGTACTGGACTGCTTGCTAGATAGCGGGGACGTCGACGTGTATACAGTCAGGCACAGCCTATGTTTCGTACGGCATTCCGAGGTACGGGTATTGCGTTCGGCTCTAACGAGGAACCATTTGAGTTATCCGTTACCTGGCTCCTGGTTCCCCAGGCTGTTTTCACTACGAGAGACAATAGAATATCTATGCAACTATGTGCACGATAACAGTATTCATTTAGCTATACCCTTACCAAGCCTGAAGAAATTACTTCTGAGATGCACCTACAACGTTCAGTTTCTTTTCGACGGCATATATTATCGGCAGAATGATGGGGTCGCAATGGGGTCCCCACTCGGACCAGTGCTGGCAGATATTTTTCTTGCCAAACTAGAAACTGAATCACTGGGGCCACTTATAGATTGTTTCGACCACAACTATTATTATATGGATGACATTTTCTGCATAACCCATAAAGATATCTCTCTGGAGGATATATTGTCAGAGTTTAATGGTGCGCACCCGGCGATTAAGTTCATCTACGAACTTGAACAAGATGGTCAACTCTCATTTCTGGATGTACACCTTAGTAGACGAACTGACGGTTCCATATTAAGGAAGACAAACAGAAAGAAAGACGTAGACCGGTCAGTATACAAATTTCAGTAGTTTTGTACCGCTTAAATACAAGCGTAACGTAGTACATTGTCTCACCTCAAGGACGAGAAAGATATGCTCAGAGGACGCTCTGGAGGATGAGATGAAATCCATCCAGAACACCTTGCGCGAAAATGGTTATCCAGAAAGATTCATTCAGCGCAACATGCAGCCCAAAATAACACCGGTCGTTAAGGAAGTAGTCGCGCAAAAGGCCCTCTTCATCCGCCTTGATTTTAAAGGTGGTACAGTTAGTGAGCTTTTAACAAGGAAACTGACGCAATCGATAAGGAACACCTTTCCGGCTGCGGAGTTACAATACATCTTTGCCACGAATCAGCTAATTCCTGTGTGCAACAAGGACAGACTACCGAAGCTGACCTCTTCTTACGTTATCTACCGATTTGAGTGCACTTGTGGGGCAACATACATTGGTCGGACGGCTCGTCAACTGTCACGTCGCATTAAGGAACATAGCCCTAAATGGTTGTTGAACGGAGGCACCGGAGTACTTACAAGTGGTATTTTGTCACATCTGTTCGAATCCGGTCACCAGATTAACCTCCCGAATGCTTTTACTGTGATTTATCAGGTTCCAATGAGCAAATCGAAAGGTACGCGGTTAAGGATGCTCGCCACTGTAGAGGCCATTGCGATTCGCAATCCGTGTGCTCGTAGAAAAATTTTGTCCAATCTCTATACTTGCCCTGGCCGAACAGCCATCAGCCTAGCCGTCACTCTGACATCGGGTCCGGCGTTGTGATTACGTAGCCCTCAATCGATCTGTGTGCATGAGACAGCAGAGAACTATTCGCTGTCTAACCATTGACCGAGTCAGTTCAGAACAAACCCCCGAACCAATCACTATCCATGCCTTTGTAACTCAACCTTATATGATTGTACCGGACTGTAGATGAATCATTGAAAACAATTGTTTGCCTCAGACTGATGTTCTTGATGAATCACTGAGAATGTTCCATTGTATTCTTATACTGTATATCACTTGCTTTTTTATCGAAGGATAATGCGTACTTGTAACAGAAGCACACAAAACAGGTTTATTCAGAAGAGCTAACCTTTAATTTAAAACTTATACCATAAAGCTTCTTACCTGGATAGCTATAAATGCTGGCGCTACTGTACATTTTTGCAGAGTAAACAATCCATAGTCACTTTGTCGATTTTGTGAGTGGTGTAATTTTCGTAGAAATTAGAAGCCACTCAGCGGTCGGCAAGGATAGTCGTCCAGGTCATGAGCCAATGTCGCTACAGTAGCAGCAGTGGGTAGAGCATCTGTCAGGATTTAGCCACCACCAGCCTCAGCACACCATAGTCTCTCCCGCCTTTATATATATATATATATATATATATATATATATATATATATATATATATATATATATATATATATATATATATGTATAGTTCTTGTTTTAACCACTTGCTAGAGGCAGAGGGATTTTTACAGTTGGTTATTTGTATATCCGTCCAGGTTACGTACCCAGCTGATATTTCCCTCGTTCTACGCATGCGATTCAAGCGCTGCGTCTCCCGTAGCACTTCAATCATTAGAAATTAAGTACAAAACAGAGTAAAAAATGGGTCTGAAGTGATTGTCAAATGGCGGAGTTAGAGGAGAACCGTAGCATAGTCTGGATAACGTCACCAATGATGGCCTGCTTGGATGAGGTCAAGGTAAACTAAAGTGGAGGGTTTCGGTATTTTCCTCTCATATTTCTGTACTCCACGGCGGGTGTCGTCCAGTTTTTGACACGTCAGGCAGAGAAATTTTAAATTTGGAGTGGAATTCTACACACATTGGTTAGCGTCTATCGCCATGATAACCAAAATAGAGTGCAAGAATGAGAAAGTGCAACACCGAAACCATTTACTTTTGGTACGGTCCTTGTAGTGTCGCTGTCGACCGTTCACACCAAACACCCGCAAAGTAATCCGAGGCCGCAGCATGAGAACGTGACACGGTTACGAGACGCCTATTATCGGTACACGGGTTGCTACCCGATCGGCGGTACCAAGGCTGAGTCATGTCGGAAGCTGATGAAATCCGACAGTCAGCATGAAACAGGTTACTACGGGACATGGTAGTTTGGGACCTAGAAAATTAACAATGGTCTGTGTCAAATATACTTCGGTCTAGTACGTTGCGGTGTTTTGTTTTGTCCCCGACTGGGTTGGCGTGGCAGAGAGCAGAGGGAAAGCAACGTTACAGCAGCGGTGAAGCGAGTTTCAATCGAACCCAGAAATGGCAGTCAGCTTCGAACAATTGTAATCACTTGTACAACAGCATGCCGACTTCATTAAGATGTCGATTCAGAAGCTGTCGATACAGTCAGGCCCAGGTTTACGGGCAACTGCAAGTGTCGACTTTCCAGAAACCCTGACTCAGCAGATCGGTGAATTCCATTATGATGCAGGTGCTGGCGTGACATTCGTTTCCTGTTTTCACAAGAATGAAGACATGTTTCCTGTTGATTTCCTAAAGGTACCAGAAAAAGTCACCTTATGCTCCTGAAGCATGAGGCGGATGAACATGAAAAGTTTACAACGTTTATCTTGCAAAGAAGAGCACTAACCCATCCTTTGACGAAGTAGTCTCAGCTTAGTCATAAATTTTTGAGGAACAGACATTCTTGTTCAACATCCGGTCCAAGTTTCTCACGATGGCCAAGAAGAAGCTTGGGTCCCTTATTTGAGCCGTGTAAATCGCGAGTGCAACAGGCGACCAGTACAAGTACCACATATACTTTTGCGGCCTACAAGCCGCCAAAGATGCAGACATAAGTGCAAGAATACTGAGCAAGATTGAACGGAATCCTGACATCACAATGCAGCAAGTAACCGACGCCTGCCTGGGAATGACAAGCCTCTAGCATGCTACATCAAGGATTCAGCCGTTGTCTAATACGAACGAGCATGACCTCATTTGAGCAGTTAATCGGACTCCCCAAAAAGCAACAAGTCATGTGAGTCCATCACATTCCAAACTCTCTTTGCTTGTTGGTTTTGTAGACAATAGCACTGTGCTCGGCACTGTTCGCGTTTGCAACCCATGCGGTAGAAGTGGTGATAAAGAGTCGTGTTTGTCCAGAAAGGAACTCAACAATACCACACCGTTCAGACGGCCCGATGGAAGCAGAACTTTTAGGGTTGATGGCGTCAACAGGCATAAGTACACTCTGGTGGAAATCAACGGCAGGCAAGTGGACTTACAAATTGATACTGGTTCAAATATCACTCTGATCTCCAGCTACACTTGGTGCAAGTTGCGGCGGTCGACACTCGTACAAACGACTCATAAGGCACGGAATTCTTCAGGTGGTACGTTAACATTGTTTGGTAAACTGAACTGGCCAATCAATTTCTGAGGCCAACAAGTCCACACAACACGGTCTGTGACGGACATACTGCGGTTAGATTTGCTGGAACTCGAATGGATGGACGAGATGAACTTGCTAAACCAGTTGGCAAACAGCATATGCCAGCAGTTGTAAGTCAAGTAAGCTAGCAGATACCAACGATGAACCCGGAATTGCATAGCCAAATTGCAGATCTGAAGCGACGCCATGAAACGTTGTTCAAACCCGGTCTCGGATGCTGTCGCGTAGTAAAGGCGGAGCTGAAGCTCCAAGCGGTTGCCAGGCTAGTCTTCAGATCAAGACGCCCGGTGCCGTACACAACACACTCTCTAGTGGAAGCCGAACTAAATCGTTTGCAATCCGAAGTTATAACCGAACCAGTCCACTATACAGAATGGGTGACACCAATTGTGGTGGGGAAGAAGGCGAACGGTAAGGTTCATATCTGCTGATCTTCCAACAGTACTGGATTCTGCGCTGGAGACGCATCAGTACCCGTTGCTTGGACTAGAAGACTTGTTCTCCGAACTCATCGGTGCAAATGCTGCGAAAAACTTGGCATAGCTGACGTTTGCCTGCAAGTTCCAGTTGCCAGGAATGCAGGACATTACTAACAGATAATGCGCATCTCGGGCTTTTCCAGTGCAACCGGCTGCCATTTGTAGTGAATACCGCACAGGCCATTTTCCAGCAAATTATGGATACCCTGCTGAACGATATCCCCAATACCGCGGTCTGCCTGGATTCATTGTTTATGGGCGCAGACCCGTAAGGCTGGATGCACACACTGGAGCGAGTACTTTCACGTTTGGAAAAAGCTGGATTTCGATTATGCGCTGAGAAATGTAAGTTCATGTTAGATAGTGTTCCATTCCTCGGGTTTATCACAGATCAACATGGCAGGCGCCCAGATCCTGCCAATATCGATGCTAGCAAACAGATGGAGCCTCCGAACTACGTCGCAGATCTTCGCTCCTTCCTTGGCTTCATAAGTTATTATAGTGTTTTTCTACCAAACCTGCATCAAACAAACCAGAAGTCGGCTGTACCAGTTGCTGACGAAAGATAACGTATGGCAATAGAAGAAGGAATGCTAGCAGTCCTTTAGCGCAGTTAAAGCAGCACTCACTACTGATCTGCTGTTGGATCATTATAATCCGAACTTGGAAATCATCGTTGCTTCGGACGCTTCCAACTACGGAATCGGCGCAGTTATTTCCCACCTTTTTTATGAACGGAGGAGAAAAAGCCATTGCACACATGGCACGGTCCCTAACGTCAAGGGATAAGAAGTATAATCAGATGGAAAGGAAGCACTCGCAATCGTTTTCGCCATGAAGTGGTTCTACAAGTGGCTCTATGGCAGGCATTTCACCCTCCTGACTAATCATACACCATTGCTGTCAATATTCGGATCAAAGAAAGGAATTCCCGTTTTACCGTGAATCGGTTACAAAGATGGGCGAGTATGCTGTTAGCGTACGATTTCAGCATATAGTGTCGACCTACGTAACAACTCGGCCAAGCGCATGCTCTGCCTCATCTCATCAAATCGCACCCAAAGGAGAACGATGCTAGTCCGATTGCAGCCATGCATTTCGAATCAGAATTCCAGCGAATCCTGACCGATAATGTAAGACGATCACCAGTGACAGCTGAGGGTATTCGCGTGGAGACTCCCGAGACAGAACCCTAACGAAAGTGATGCATTACCTGCAAACATGTTGGCCAAAATGTGGTATCTCTGCTGAAGTGCGGCGTTTCTTCAACCGACGTGGGTCACTGTTCGTTGTGAACTATTGTTTGATGTTTAGAGACCGAGTGGTGATGCAAGTCTGACAGCAGTTTTATACTGAGCATCCAGATACCAACCGAATGAAAGCCTTGGCATGCCTTTTTGTTTGGTGGCCCGGAAAGCTTTCAGAAAGTGAACAAATCTGCCAAAATTGTGAAGGGCGTAGGCCCTTCCCAAGTGCTCCTGGCAATCTTGGCCCAAAGCGTAGAAGCTATGGCAGCGAATCCACTTAGACTATGCAGGACCAATCATCGGTCAATCCAAGCATGGTTTTGTGGACTCTTTCTTCAAGTGACCCGATGTGATCCCGATGCAAATTCCGACTTCCCAGCGCACGATCAACGAGCTGTTTGAGCTGTTCCAGTATTTCGGCCTGCCAGAGATATTAGTGACAGACAACCGTATACAATTCACTGCAACCTTTTATCGCGAATTGTGCAAAGAGAAAGGAATTCAGAAGATGTTCTCACCACCGTATCACCCACAATCAAACGGACAAAAAGAACGGATCTTGGATACCTTTAAACTTGCTCGTTGCAAAACAGGACAAAGCATGTTCCGGAAGGATGCAATCCAGTCTTTCCAGGGCATGTATCGGAATGCGCCAATCCAAACGTCCCAGAGGAAAGAGCCCCTGCCAAAATTTAGTCCGGTCTATAGATCCGGACATTGTTGATAAACTTGTGCTGAGCAGAAGAGAAAAGCATTGCAGTTGCCAAGTGGAGGAAAAGCTGACAGACCGATTCCGTCATTGCAAAATTGGTGACATAGTGTACACGCGAGACTTCCGAGGACCGAGGAGATGGACGACAGGAAAATTGATCCACAGAATGGGTCGAGTCATTTACGAGCTAATGGTGGAAAATTAGAAATGGATCAGGCACACCAATCAGCTGAGGCCGAAGCACAGAAAGTCGCAAACTTTCCCAGAATCGCCATCCTTACCGTGGGACATCCTGATAGACACCTTTGGTTTAGAAGTGGAAGTTGACCGGCTACGTGGCTCACAACTGAACCTACAAGCATTAGCTGATACACAATGCGGGTCGACCCGAAAGCGGAGACGACTCAATGGCTGCAAGATTACCACAAAGAGAAAAGCTACAAAAATTTCGAGTTCCCAAAGTACGCAAGTTGACTCAATTCGAGAAGGAAGATAATCGGAGGCCGCAGCATAACAGCGTGACACGGTTTCGAGAGGCCTATCATCGGGACACGGGTTGCTTCCCACCAGGCGGTACCACGGCTAAGTCACCCGGGTAGCTGATGAACTCAGACCGTCAGCGTGAAAAAGGTTGCCACAAGAGACGATAACGTGTGACCTATATAATGAACAATGTTCTGTGCCTAGTAGGTTTCGCTGTTTTGTTTTGTCCTAGGCAAGGTTGACATCGCAGAGAGCAGAGGGAAAGAAGCGTTACAACCAAAAGAGAACAAGGAAGACGGACTGGGAAAAATTTGCTTACATGCGAAATCTGCTGCACTTAAATAGGGCGTAGTGGTAGTAGAAGCAGTGCTACTAAAACATGCTAAACGCAACCAACAACTTAGGAGGCACCGAACGACGCAGGGGAACGAGAAGTGTAGCAACCCATCTATGAACCCAAACTACACAAGTACACATAAAACGCACATGGTTGACGGCATCCGTGTCTGAATTTGCCTGTCACTGCGACCTCCACGGGGACAGTTACAGGACACCTTCCCCTACAGGACGACCATGGGGGCTTGCTCTGCACCACCCACCACTCCATCAACACACCCCATATCCGGTGTAAGCCCGAAGAGATAAAACCGGGAGGCAGGTGGATGGGAGCCACGTTTCATCAACGAAGCCGGTTCACACTCGTTCACAGGCAAACAAACACACGCTAACTTTTGGAATCAAACGGTGGCTGGACCGTTGTCCGCTTTGAACACAATCCAGGTGAGTTTTACCACTCTTCGAGCCTAAGACGGCAACAGGGACCGTGAATCCCGCCCCTCTAGTAACGATCAAATATTTCCCAGATCCAGTATGGACGAGGTAGTGGGTAATAGACAGGTAGGTAACTTATCAACATGCACATCAAACGCAACCACACTGGGGACGTCAAGCAAAAACCAATGACTTGGAATGACGATAGCAAATAAAACCTCGGATATGGCATACGGATATGCCGGTTTAACTCTTCACTAAATTCGCATACATAATAAGTTGGCCATCAACAAATCTGCGCTAAGTTCAAGACGTCAGGAAATATATTTTAAGGAAATGTCACAAAGGCAAAATGTTATCTAAGTTAACCACAATTAACTTAAGCGACATGTGCAAGATAACAGAAGAATACTCAGGTAGACGTTAAAATGAGGTAAAAAAACAATTATGCTGGCTAACAAAACCAATAACCGCGATAAAGAAACCAAGAACGCAAGCACACTGTTCGTAAATTGAATGCAGCGTACACACCAACGCTGTGCCCGTCATGCTTGCGCTCTTAGCAGCACCCGTCGTCGATTCGGTGTTGGTCCCGAGTGGCCTCACTCGTGGTTCACTAGGTCTGCCTAACTCGGGCATTCGCGACCTCATGTGCTACAGAACCTTGTGCTCAATGTCTATGGAGTGTAGCCCATCGGCGCTCGCTGGTTCCGCACCTGCCACATCTTCTCTGCATGCACGAGGGCTTTCTCCTGCGCCTCGACAAATGCCTTCGTGCTCAGATCACGCCATGCACTCCGATTAATAGCCTTAGATTCCAAACACCTAAAATCAACCTTAGGACGTGATAGGCTTACTTAGATCATGTCCTGGAAACGAAGCTCCGGTTTCCCACATGCCGCTTCCACACACTCAGCTGACTATCTAATAGCTGCTTCGGTATCCTCGTAGAAACCATACGGCACACTTAACTGAGCAACCTCAAGTGTTTCAACAACAGCTTGGAGTCCACGGCATACATTTACTTCCGTAAAGTACCCACAATTCTGTCACTCTGTCGCAACAAACGATACGCAAAATCCGTCGCTGATACTGTTGATTAAACCCCTCAAGATAATTATATCTCGCCGGTACATCGTTCACGCTCCATCTTCTCGTGGTGACCGCTGGGTGGAAGTTAGGTTACGGCCTTCTCCTAGCTAAGAGCCAGGGCAACAATCCGCTTGAATCAGTGAACTGACCATGTGCTAGACACGCTACATTTCGCGTGTACATTTAATCGAAGGCTTTGGCTGAGGACCCGAATCGTTCTCCTGTCAAGTGTGGCGGCCCTGGCAGTATCCTAGTCCATCCTCTTCGGAGGTTAGGAAATGGTCGATGTCCCTCTTTCCGTAAAACCTAGCCTTGGAAGACAACAGGTTCACAGGTTACAGGCTCACCGCTCGATTGGCGTAGAGCACGAGCGCCATGCATTGTCTCTGACCGTGGGAAGGTAGCTCCGAGTGCTTCATGGTTTGCTACTACCCAGTGATGCCCGCCTCAAGCCAGGCATCACTGGTCAAATTGGTGCAAACCTGCCAAAACCCACTTGCGTCTGATTGTGGTCGCAGGTGCGTATGTTTCTACGGTAGCATAACACAAATTATTTGTTCCAGAAGTCTAAAGGTTCCGTCTGAGTGCCCTCAAGCAGATCCCAGTCTGTCTCTGCAATCACATTCCCGAGCTGGATCTGCTCCCCACTGCCTTGTGGGTCAGACTGTTGAGTCAAAGTCTTCGGGAAGAGACCGTTGAGTAAGTCTTCGAAGCACAACCACGACCTCGCTTGCAGTTGCATACCAATGCAAACGTATG